TCCTGACACTCTTATTTTTGTCATCATCTCTTAATCTGCCCATAGAGTCTTCTTTCTCTTCCCCCCTCTCTTCCCTTCAGGGCTGAGCTCTGTGCTGATAGTGTTGTACTTGTCCACTGTCCTTGTAAATCCTCCATCCATGCCGCCTTGTATTTGACTTCTCCATCCTTCTTTGTTTCACTCATCCCCATTGTAAAGATTTTAGATCTCCTCCGTGCTGCCTTTTCTATTTAGCCCCTTTCCTCCTCGTACTACCTCTTCTTTCTCTTCTACTTTACCTTGGGCTCTTGTTGCTGCAGCACAAACACTGCCCCACCTCTCTTTCTGTCCACATCCCTTATGTTAACCTCCCAGCTTCTATTCCTATGGCTGCCTCCACGTCTCTCCTCGCTCTTCCCCTCCATCTGATTGCTTGTTAGTTGGTATGCAGGCTTGGACCCCTATTGTGCATTCTTGCCTGTCAGCACTCTCTTTTTCCATCTCCGTCTCCCTCTTTCCCTTTATTCCTCTTTCCAGCTCCTAGTGTCCATTCTTTCTATCAAACAAAACAAAACAAAAAAAAATGCACAACCACATAGAGAGCAGAGGACAGGGCCTGTTTAAAGAGGATAAATGCTGTCTTGCAACAAAAAGGAAGAAAAAGAAGATATATGGGTTATTGGACAGGGGAATGTTTTCACGTAAAAGAAGAATTTAAAACGAATTAAACACCCTGGAGAGATAAAGGGCAGCAGAGGAGAGGAAGAGAGAGGAAAATGGGGGAGTGGCTCCAGTGACAATAATATATGGATGGAGGTCTATGAAGGTGGAGGCTTGCTAGCAGAATGACAAATGGGTCTCGAGTGACAGAGTATTATATTAAAAAGTAAATTGATATGCAAATGTGGAGTGTGTGGCTTTGGAGGACAGGGATAGCCTGTTGTCCTCACTGAAGTGGAACAGAGAGGCAGAGGGAAAGGTGAGAGCCCGGCTGTGATAGTGATATCGCAGCTCATTAATATGTGTGTGTTTTTGCGTGATTGGTGCAAGTGTGTGGGGTTTTAAGTCATGCGAATGCACAGCTGTGGGATGTGTATTTACACCGTGCAAACCCGGCAAAGTGTCGTGCAGTTGGATGGCAGCGAAATGGAACAGTGAATGGTTGTGTTTAATGTCACACTGCGGTACGAGCAGGACAAAGAAACAGCTGGTGGGAAATGCGGGGAGACTTTCTCATTATAAAGTCTGTTCCAGCTCAAGACTCGATGAATGTTCATACAGTAAAGTAAATACCTGTGGCATGTAAATCAATAGCAGGACAGCAGGCCACTCAACAAGACTGTGTGCTGAGCGCGGTCATGTTTTTTTTGTTTTTTTTGCAGCTTCACGAAACTAAATCAATTTTCAGTACATCTAAATACAATCATGCAATGCACAACCACGTATCCAACAAAATATGCTTATTTTGCAATATTTACTACTAAGCTGCTTTGCCAGTTCCACTATGGTTCATGTTTACTTGTTTAGGGAACTAACTAAGTCACACTAAAATCTAATTAATCATGTTAGTAAACTGAATGCAATGAGAGAGTATAACTGCATCATCCTCTGTGAAAAAAAAAACACAAAATCTTAATGAAAACTAGCATTTAGAGGCCTGGAAGGAAAAGAGGAGAAGGATGTTAGTTGTGACACGACTTAAATGTGCTGAGGCCCGAGCTACAGTATCGCATTTGCTGGTATCCTTCACTGTTCTGCGTATTGATTGTTTTAATGGGATGCCAAACTACACACACGCAGCAGAGAGCACATAGAAGAAAACAAACACATTTGGTTAATGTACCAAAAGATGATGGTTCTGGTTAAATGTTGACAGCAAGTCAAGGTTGACTTTGCATATTTAGGACGGCAATCTTTCCCTAACATTAACTAAAGGCTGCGGGTTGCCTGTGATATGTTTAGTCTGAGCATTTTGCCCTGGCAGTGGACCGTTTCAACACAATATACAGTGCGTAGAAGTGTGAGTCCCCTCTGACAGCTGTTTGTTTGCAGTTTTCCTACTCCTGCTCTGTTGCAGCTTCAAATGTGAAAACTTAGTAAAAATGTCAAGCGCAAAGAAAAAGTACCCGCGGCATCAGAAAACGGCCTGCACATAGCCCTCCTGAGTCCAATTCCAGTGTCTTTAATAGATGAATTACAAGTCAGCTGCATTTAGTCGACGATATTAAATATCTGTTTCAAACACACACACACACACACCCAGACACAGCTGTCGGGGGAAAACAAAAGCCACAGCCATGTCAGGTTTTGCGCCATGTTTAAGACTGCAGCGCTAATGATTCATGACACTTCTAACTGGAGAGGAGAAATGAGTTGCTCTGTAATTACTATGGAAATGTGTTCATTTCCCATCAGACGCACACACACACACACACACACACACACATATGCACCCATGGAGACACTCGCATTAGCACCGAAACACATCCAGCAGCAATGGGGAAGTGCTTCAAACGGGGAACACACACGTGTACGTCTATGTGTGTGTGTGTGTGCGTCCCCGTGGGATTATCACAGTTGGAGCAGAGGTGTGACCCATGTCCCCATTCCCCATATGTTTTAAACACATGCCCCAAAGCATCGTGTGTGTGTGTGTGAGTGTGTGTCAAGGGGGTAATGATAGTCCCTTGGTGTTCGACTGGCTTGAGCCCAGCTGATAACCAGGTGGGGCCCAGTCCCATTTCACAAGAACATTATGCCCCCTCCTTCTTTATCCCCAAATACCAGCAACCGGTCTCTACCCTTATGTGTGTGTGTGTGTGCGTGCATGTATTCCCAAGACAGCCTATTGATGTCTGGGTTACACCATGCATTCAGCTGTGTAAAATCAACACAAGGATTAAACACCAAATGACTGAGATTTACTGAGCCCGCCGAAACTCCACCTTTCTCTATTTCTGTAGCACCGTGTGTCTCATTTGCAGTCGCGGCGCAGCAGCCCCATTTCTTCTCCACTCAGTATTCCTCTCCTATATTATTTTTGTGTTTATCTCATTTCGGCTCTCCTTTTCTTTATCAAATCTTTGCTTGCTATTTCTTTCGGTCTCCATTTCTCTCCTGTCCTCCTCTACGCCGCCGTCTTAAATCACGTACCCGTTGGGTGCTGCAGATTCCCAGTTGCTCCTGGCCCTGAGCCCAAAATCAGTTTATTTTCATGATGGACAGGCATTCTGACTGGATGCTGCTTTACTCGTGTAAGACGATGAAGGAGGATGGGATAAAAGGGAGGAGAGGAGACCTATGACCTTTAAGTCCTTGATTGGTATAATTTTCTAATAAATGAAAATTAAATCATGTGAGTAACTTGATGAATCAAGAACCACAACAACAAAAAAAGCAGAATAAACACACTAAAAGCCAAAACAACTTCAGCAGACACTGACAGTCCCTCCTTCCCCATCACATAATGAATTACAGCCTTTTGTTTTCTTCAAAGAGAGTTGGGAGGGGAGGAGACAGGACAGGCGACCGTGTAGTGTTTATGGTGTGGTTAGTAGGATTCTGCTTTATATTTTATGCTTTTTTTTTCCCCCCCAAAATGTTTGTGCTGACTTTAAGGAAGCAGTAAATCTTTGAGACAGTGTTATGGATGATTACCATTCTTAACCCTCTGAACCTCAAGCACTTTCTGAGTGATTTTTTTTTGCTCCTGCCACATTTTTACTCGCTCTGAGCTCATTTTTCACTGCAACATAAAGTCCTGCACCACGATGGAAACAGCACAACCATGGCTAGAAGCGGAGAGGACTCAGAAATGTGTTGTATGCAGCATCACAAAGTTAGAATGCCAAGAATCACAAAAAAGGATAAAAGAAAGTTGAACTACTTTGATTATTTTAGTGAAAAAAAATGTCCAAGTAATACTTCCATTTTAAATTAGTTTCATTTAAGTGTCTACTGTCTTGCTATGTGTAAACACAGCCTGCTGTTCAATCCAGTTCAGCCACAAAGTCTCTGGATTTCTGTCACATGACTGACAACTGAGTCACGAACGGCTCAACATGGTGAATTCTTAAACGAGAGAATGTAGAATAAAGTGATTTTAATGAAACATCACTATTTTCCAACAAAACGCACAGATGAGTGAGTCTCTCTGTTTTTATAGATAAATGGTGTAATACTTCTTAAAGATAACATGCCTTTCAAACTTGCTGGGAAGTTTTTTTTTTTGAAGTTGAGAGGCAGAAGCTCGACAAAGTAAAAAGAAAACAGACTGTCAGAAACATGTGAGAACAACACAAACACAAACACACAGACGTGGATCCCCTGTGAGGTCTGTAAAACCGAATAAGTTTAACACTTCCTCACAGCTGCAGTGCAGGATTGAGCTGATCAATTTGTCAATATTTTGTCTTGATCGTTGGACTGACCCTCGCCACAGGGTTTGTGCATGTGCACAGAGGGGGGTGATGAAAGGGCATGGAGGAGTGTGTGTTTGTGTGTGTATGTGTGTGATTTGTGATAATGTGGAAATCAGTGCTTGATGACCAGAAGGGTCCATAGATGGGTAAAGAGGAAGGCTTTAATGCATAGATCTGTGACACACACACACACACACACACACTCTCACACACACTTATTCACTCAACCTCAGGCAAAACAGCTCAGAGAAGAATTGAGTTGAGTCGTAGAAGCAGAGAAAACAGCTTTTCTCCTCCAGGCTTGCCCTATACAGAGGAGAGGGGTGTGCAGAGACAAAAGGAAATATCTAGTTGTTCATACACACAGCTAGTGGCTGTACACAGTATGGGGGTTTCCTGGAAATACCATAGATTTAATATAGCAAACAGATGTGTGCAATTGCACAGGCACACTCAAGGATTAAAGGAATGTGAACTTCAATGCACGTCCTACAACGGTATAAAATATTCTGGCATCTGTGGTTAAAGAAAAGTCACTTCTGTGTGTATAGCTTTACATGCAGTGCAGCATCATAAAACATCTGGACACTTCTGTTTCAGGCATTGTGGATATATCAAAGCCAAACAGGACCCTGACGAAGAGAAGATGCAGTTCCAACATGGCCGAGGTAAAGACACAAACTCGTGCACACACACACAACCACAAGTGGAAACTGTGTGACATTTGTCCGAAAACCAAACTCCACACCCACCTGCAATTAGTCACATCGCTGCCTGTGTTTATGGCTGTAAACAACAGACAGCAGGAGGAACACTATGAACAAAGTGGACAAAGGCACTGCTTGTTTCCTCACATAAAACAGTCATACTTTGTTTGTGGATCTCAGGATGTATCATGAGAACTGAAAGCGCAACAGAACATAAGTCTCTGACTCTGTAGCGTTCTCTGCTGAATTAACCACATTGTTTCACAGTTTTGTGCTCAAATGTTTGCTGGCACTGCAAAGCTCCTTATGGGTTCCTGTTAAAATTATGAGTCACTTTAACACCATCGCTAACAAAGTAGCTCCGTGTTTCATTATGTAATAATTTGTAATGTCACTCAAACAGAGCACCCACGCTCAAGCTCCCATTTCAGCATGAATTTACACTAAATCCATGCTAGCTTCTGAAGTCAGTGTTTCCCTAAAGGCATCAATAAAGCATCATATTAATAATATGACCTATTTAATATTCCTTTAAAATATCATAATCCCAGCATGGGCTGATTTTCTTCCACTATATTTGGGGAGTGCTCTAAATGAACGAATTTAATCCTTTTTCCATTTCACTTTTCCACTTGTGCAGTCAAGCTTCCAGGCAGCAGGACTTACATCCATCCTCACACGTACGAAGACCCCAACCAGGCCGTCAGAGACTTTGCCAAAGAGATAGATGCTTCCAATATTCGCATAGAGAGAGTCATTGGAGCTGGTGAGTGGGCAGTAAAACAGCAGTAGACTACTTTAATAACTAGAAAAAAAAAATGTAAAAAATGAAGTTGTTCAAATTCAAATTACTGAATTATTCTAGGAATCATTTGCATGTAAGGATAATTTTCCTTATTTTTGAGAAGTCAGTAAACCTGTAAAATGAAGTAATTGTGGAACTGGATGCAATTTATGGGTCAATACAAGAGTGTATAAAACTTAAAAAAAGATAAGAGAACATAGATATTCATCAATTGTACAAGCGTTTATCTTTTACCAGAAGTTTCAAAGTTGTTTTGTGCTTTGTGCTTTGTGTGTGTGTGTGTGTGTGTGTGTGTAGGAGAGTTTGGGGAGGTGTGCAGTGGGCGACTGCGTGTGCAGGGGAAGCGGGAGATCTATGTGGCCATCAAGAGTCTGAAGGCCGGATACTCAGACAAACAGAGGAGGGACTTCTTGTCTGAGGCCTCCATCATGGGCCAGTTCGACCACCCGAACATCATCAGGCTGGAGGGCGTCGTCACGAGATGTGAGTCGCAGGCGAAACCTTTTACTTCATCGAGCGTGCGTGGGTGTGTAACGAATCACACACTCCCCTTTCCTTTCTCTGTGATTGTGTGGGAGTGCGTGTAGATGTGCGTCTGTCATGTACCTGTTTGAGAAGCAGCAGAGCTGTTGGTGATGTAAATAACAGTTGACCCTGGATCAGATAAAAGCTCCATTACCATGGTAACACACTGGTGAAGCATGGCAGTGTGCATGTGATGCAGCTGTCCACCTCTCAAAAGGCCACTTGTTTACTTCACATGATTGTGTTTGGGCAATTAGAGTGAGTGTGTGTGTTCATGTAGGTGAGACAGACACAGGCCTGGTTCAACAAGATAGCTGATTCGTTATCAGTGGGCCTCGCTCTCTCTCAATCACTCACTCTATCTCTCTCCCTCCATCTATCCTGCTCTCGTCTCATATCCCTATCTGACTCTCCTCCCCCCATCTAACCTTCTCATTCGGCCGCTCTCCGATTCTCTCTTTTTCACTCGCTGTCTGTCTCAGGCAGTCAGCCTCCTCTTCTCACCCTCCAGTACTCCTCTCTCTCTCTTTGTCATCCCCGCTCAGCGTCAGAGTACGTAAACGCTAAAGCCGGCTACATTTGAACATCTTTCCACTCTGCGCTTTTGACTCACGACCACACGAATGCTGCATGCACAACTCTGGCTGACTTCTTCTTTTTTGATCCAACCCTGGAGTTTTTTAATTCACACAACTGGAAGAAACCACCAAAATGTGCTGAAAGAAAGTCTTACTGTATCTGGGTATTACTAAGTCATTAAGAATTTCAAGTGTTTTTGTGATTGTGAGCAGCAAAGCCAACAGTTAATGACACATTTTACTTAATAATCATCATTAGTATCCCTACAGGTAATTGTGGAAAGTAATGTTTTAAATCATGCAACTTGTTATTCTGGACTTTATCAACATTATTTTGTTGAATCGCTAGAAAACACAGTTGCTTTTTTGCTTATACAAGTCCGTAACTTTGTGAAATAAGGCATCAACGTTGCAGCCACAATAAGAACAGGTTCAATTCTCTAACTGCTAAGGAACGGTGCTTCAGTGTTTGCTTTCTCATCTCCTTTACATACATCGCTCCATCCGTCACAAAACAAACGGGGATAATGCTTTCCCACAATTCCTTCCAACCGCAACTTTCACAGCGACCCACCATCCATGGCAGAATGTCAACAACGTTCACTGTCGCGTGATTACGAAGCCTAGTGTGAGTGCAGTTGGATTCTCTTGGCTCCCTGGTTGGTGTTTTCCTCATCCATTCTGCCTCCCATGGTTCCTTAATCTCATGTTTTCCATCAAGCTCGAGGAAAAGCGTACAGGAAGAAAACTATGCTTTTTACTATTTGACCACGACCCAATTTTTCATCACCTCCAATCCATTTTTGGACCCGTCTTTATTTTAAACCTAAAAGCAGGTGATCACTCAGTACAAGTGCGCATTAATATTTATGCCAATTTTGCAGTGCGGCAGCGCCTGATTAACAGGTATCTTTTAGGACCTGCAATCAAATCCTGATTTTCTGCTTGTTCACACGGATAAAAGCAGAAAAATGTACCACAACAATATTGCAAGTTCAGATTTGTTAATGCAAGTATAGGTGATCACAAAATACAGGGGTGGACAGACTGTACTTTGGTTATGGAGAACTTTTTTTAAAAACAAAAATTACCTGTTAACAGTGGTGTTTTCATTCTAGCCGAGTTCATGTGGACCTATCTGCTCTCCTGCCTGCTGTTCATACTCCTCGGCGCTGCTGCTCTGTCCTTCTGACACCTTGTTATGCAGATGTTTGTGAGACATCTGCAATCAAGCAAAAGGAAGAGGGAGAGACTCAGTACAAAGAAACAGAATTGTAAACATGCGGGCAGACAAATAAACCTCTGCTTCTGCCCTCATCTCACTCCCCACTCCTTCTCCCTTTGCCAGACACACAAAGATCGTCAGTCCATCACACACCGGTGCTCAGTGGCACTTAGGCAAACAACAAAAGAGCAAATGCATATGCACAGGCTTTTATCATGAATATTAATAATTCATAAAGTTAATTGGGTGTGTTTTTTAGCCTCATGAATATTCAGCAGCATGCATATTACGAATGAGACCCCACTGCATTTCTTATTCATTTCCTCCTATTCTGTCACTCTCTCGCTCTCTGTTTCCCTCTCAGACATGAAAGAGACGTATAACACGTAGACATGTAATTATGCCACTTTCTTTTCAGGAACTCTCACTATTCTGTTTTAAAATACCAGAATAAATTTAAAAATGACTGCCTAATTTTGGAAATTTTTGGGGACAATGGCGCAATTGACAGAGGAAACTAAAGAGGAAGCTAAACACTGACTTGACAAGCAATTGGTTTTAACATAAGAAAGTATTCTTTACTCCGCTGTGTTTTAAAAATATGCTTATGCATGTTGTTTTTTTTTTGTTGAGTGTACTTAATGAGTGCTTGTCTCCTTCTACAAGCGTTTCTTCCTGTCTCCCTTCTCACCTGTCTTCACGGCACATTGAGGAGCTGATAGAGCCCCTCAGAAACAAATCTCACTAGCGGAGCAGTAATTTCACAGGTCACAGCTCGGGGTGTGTATGTGCGAGCAAGAGGGGTGAGAGTTGAGATGGGTCAATAATTCCTTCAGGCCCTTTTTTCTCCGGCACCAGCTGGTCCCTTCACGGCGCCCTCGGTCTAATCAGACAGGCTGACCCTAACTGCTCTGGACTCAGGTGTGCAGGATTGGTTTGTGTAGGTGTAAGTAGCTGCAGACGCTGGAGCTGTGGCAGTAATATCGGTTTAAGTAGGACTAGGAGTAATTGCTGCTCTGCTGTGGTAGGTGTAGGTGAAGCGTCTGGAGCAGCTGTGGTGGCAAAAAGTAGCGTCGCAGCTGTAACTATCTTAATAGTAGGGAAGAAAAAGAAACACTAAAGTGATGGAGAAGAAAAAGAAATATGATTAAAGGTGGAAGAAGTACTCCGATCCTTAGTCTAAGTTAAAGCACCAATACAGCAATGTAAAACTACTTCATTACAAGAAAAAACATCCTACCAAAGTTAAAGTAACTACTGGCAGCAAAATGTAAATTGCTGAAGTCCTTCTGACTGATATATTTTCATATATGACATCATTTGATTATAACTGTGAAACATCGATGTGTCAGCAGCTTGTTAGTGTTGTAGCTGCTGGAGGCTTGAACTATTTCATACACAGTTTTATATACAAGTACACCAGATGAATCTGAGGACGTTGAGATGATTAATGAAAGTGGAAAGAATAAAACACAAAGAACAAATAAACCCAAAACAGATTTGTGTATCAAATCTGTTTCCAGTTTCTAGACTCTTTTGCTAATCTTTGATTCTTGGTGGCATAATGGATCATTTCAATATTTATTGAAATGAAACCATGTGAGAAGTTTAGAGGGGAAAAAAATTACTATTTGGTGGAGCTGTTAGCAACTCATAGACGTCTGATATGTGACCCGACTGCACGCTGCTGCTTTTTGTAAGAAAACATTTGGAAACCATTTGGGTTAACGTTGAACAATGAGTTGTTATTAAACTTTAACAATACAAAGTTAAAAAAAAAAGTAACTTAATAAAATAAAGTAGTTGAGAGAAAAGTACGATAATGTGTGAAATGTAGTGGAGTGGAAGTGTAAAGGAGCATAAAGTACAAGTACCTCCATATTGTACTTAAGTAGAATACTTGAGTAGATGTAATTAGTTACTTCCCAACACCAGCGATTACTCATCTTCTTGCCAGTGGTGGGATAAAAAGAATAATACCTAACTCTACAGATCTCTTAAATAATAGTTAATGCTTATTGTACTACACAATACTGTCTGATAAACATCAGGAAATGCACTGTAATAGAACCACTAATTATTTTCATTATTCACCACTTTGCAGCTTATTTTCTCCAATAAATTATTGTTTAGTCTGTAAAATGTCAAAAAAAAAAACAAACAGAGAATAGCGTCTATCAAAGTTTCCCAGAGCTCACGATGATGTCCTCAAATGTTTTGCTTTGTCTTACTAATGGCCTAAAATGGAGAGATAATTGATTTACTATAAGACAAAGAGAAGCATCCTCACAGTTTAGAAGCTGAAAATAGAAAAAGGCTTTTTTTTCTCTTTTGCTTAAGAAATTACTCTACTGATTAATCAAATGGCAAAATAATTGCAGCTTAATTTTCTGCTGTTCAACTAATTACATAATGGATTACTCATTTTAACAGTACAGGAAGCCGTTATGTTAGTCAGGGTTTTCCATGCACAGAGGGATTTTTGAGAGGTTCTAGCCAGCACCAAAGGAAAATCGCCAGCACTGAAATGATAGGGATCAAGAGGGTTGCACTTTCTCAAGGATAATAGGCATTTTTGTTTATTAACAGGCCAGAAGTAACATGAAAATGCACAGACTTTTGTCAAATGAGGTAACACAGACTCATTGCCTTTACTGTATGGGGACAAGTCATGCTTGTTGTCTTTAGCATAGGCTTTATTAACTGCCATCTAGTGTACCATATTTCTTTCCATTCCAATTCTGCGGTTCGTCTTTGTAAGCAATGTTTCATCTCCCTTCTGGCTCATGTTAAATATTTCATTGTTTCACACATTGTCTTCTCGTTCTTTCTTGACTAACATCGATATATATATATATACACCTTTTTGACTCGTCAACCCAAAGGTCTATTCTGAGCCAGGAAAACGCCCAAAGTGTTCTTGTTGATGTTGAAGAAGTGGACTTTGTTGCAGGAATTATCAATATGTGCTATCAGTGTAGTCTTACAAGTCAGCGAGATAGTCGAGGTACAGGAGAAGCTGCAGTAAACGGGGTGTTCACTTCGTACAGGATGGAACTTGTGCAAAATGTGTTGCACCCAGTGAATCGTCTGAAAAAGGGAACAGAAGTTACCGAGCGAGCTGCAGAAGTGGTCGGTGTGGTGATTATTGTTGTAATAGTGACGGCTGCAGAGGCAATAATAAAACATTTTTGCTCTGCTGTATTTTGTATTGGGTTTATGCATGAGTGCCTATCTCGGCATGTTTTTCATTCATTTCTGCGTCTGCACATGCATGTGTGTGTGTGTGTGTGTGTGTGTGTGTGTTTGTTCTCTGCTTAAAACCTCATAAGCCTTCAGCCGCTGCCATGTGCCACTCTAATAACCTACTCCGCTGTCTGTCACCTGATTGTTGCTATTGTCATGCTAATTAGAGCACCACATGCGGAAAAAGAGGGAGGAAAAAAAAAAGATCTTTCTTTTCTCTCCGTGTCTCTCTACACATCAGAAAAAGTGCAGCAATCTGCCCCCAGCCTTACCCGCCCCTCCCTCCCTCCCTCCCCTCCCTCCCCACCTCCATCTCCTTATCTTCCCTTTATCTCCCCCATCCCTCATTTTATCCATCCGTCCTTTATGTGTTTTACAATCGCTGCAACAATCGGCTCATTTGGAAAACCCTCAATTACCGAACTCCATCTCATCTGACACACACACACACATTTTTTTAAATATTTTTTTTAAAGCTGCTGCTCTACAAAGGTGCAGTTAAAACCCGGCAAAACCTCGTTTCTCCACCCGTCTTCTGTTTGAAGAAAACTAGTGATTAGTTTTAACTGTGTGTCTTTGTGCGCCGAACAATGAGTGTTTCAATATTTCCTGTCAGAGTGTTTGAAAGTATTCATGTTTTGAATATGCATGCAGATCCCAAGATTGGACTGCACAGACAAATGAGGAAGGACACTGGGAAAGGGAGGGGAGGAAAAAAAGTAAGAATAGGTGACGGGATGTAGGGGAGAAGGGGGCACGGGTGGATGAGATAGGATACAAGAGCGAGGAAATGAGAGAAGATGGGGGGCTTGAGAATAAATGACGGCGACGGAGAGTGGCGGTGGGGAGATGCGCGAAGAGATTCGAGGAAGGGGGAAAAAAAAAAAAAGGGGGGTTGGAAGAAGAGAGGAGAGATGGCGAGGAGACAAACGTGAGGAAATGAGAGGAGATGAGAAAAGCGAAGAGGGAGGAGGAGAGGTGAAGAGAGGAGAGGAGATAAGGTTATTGAGTTTCTGTCCGTCTGTTTCTCCGCACCCCCGCAACCTCACATAGCGCTTCCCAGAACAGAGATCTGTCCTGTGTTAAAAGCATTGTATCATTTAGTTCAGACCCTTAACATTAATCAATACAGCAGTTATTTCATTTTCTCGTTTGTACCTTGGGCAGCCTCATTCAATAATGCGGTAATGCGGCCCACCGGCGCGCACGCAGATAGCTACTCATAATGTAATTGTTCAGATGTATACAGAGTCTATCACTTTCGTTTACGCTCTCACCAACAGCCTCTCGTAATGTAATTTACCCCACCGACTGTATGTACGTGGTCTCTATCACTTTCATGCACACGCAGCGATTCGCAACTTCACGAGGCCTAAATGATCCGAGCGTTATTCCCCAGAAAAGCAGAGACAACACTTTCTACTCTCACCTAATAAAGTGCAGTACGAAAAAAAAAAAAAAGAAGAAGAGCAAACTCCTTTTCTGATCCATTCCATAACACACTCCACCTGGCAGAACATCAATACCCAATCTGCACACACACACACACACGCATTCATACACTGGGAGGTGCTTTTTAGCTCCGCTGTGTTATTTCTGAAGGCGATGAAAGGCAATAAATTCGAATGAATATGAATGTGATTAGTTAATTATGTGCTTTCAGGAGGAAATTGAGGAGCGCTCGTGAATGTTTGTCGGAGCTGGAGAGGCTCCGTCCTGCCAGCGTCTATGTGTGTGTGTGTGTTTGAATGGCATGTGACGAAGTTGCTACAAGGAGTGAAAGAGATTCATTGTGCCGTCGAGTGTGTGTGTGTGTGCACTGGCACCTGACAAAAAGAGATGAAATGAGCTAATATGCCGCATGTGGGCGCGTGCGGTCGCTTTTTGCTGGTAACCTCTGTTATCTTTTAGAGTTGCAGGGATAATTCTGCGTGGCAGGTGTCCAGATGATGGCTGGTGATAGCAGAGAGAGTGTGTGTGGCCTACATGCTTCTCTAAGCCAAGACCACAGCGTGAATGTGTTTCATTGTGCTTCTCTTATTCTGCTCTTCTGCTAACATGCATGCTGCTCATACACATGCCAAACATGTACAAATATATACCTTTAGCTTTCAGGGGTAGTTTTTAAAGCTCAAACACAAGTGGACAGAGGGCCACGAAGAGTCAGACCTCCATCTAGTCAGGATCAATCCAGTCGACATTTTTTATTTGCCCACAGAGATAAACTCATACACAGAAGCACACACGCGTTCTCCACCTCTGATCCCAGCCGAAATCAGGCCGTCATCATCCTCATTGTGCCGTCTCTCCTCGCTGTCCTGAAACCAGCTTTCTGTCTGTGTCTCTGCTGCTCCCCACACTCACACAGAGCGATACACCACACACAACACAGGCCCCGTGCGGAGATAAATGTGACCAGCAGTCCTCACCCCCAGCAGAAGAAAATCCAATTCTCTTTCACTTTTATCCCTGAGACTAATGTTACTGTCAAAGAAGACACCACCACCAGAGACCAGGCGACTCTGTTTGTGTGTGTGTGTGCATGTGTGTGTGTGTGTTTGCTGCGGTGAGATAGTGAATTCATTTAAGGTGATGTATTGCTGTCTTTACCTACAGTCTTACAGTAGGCCTCGGTGGTGTTGTTCCAGCCTTTCCATGACAAGCTTTTGACCCCCTCCTCCCACCGTCCTGCCTCTCTATTCCCCTCTTTCCATCCTTCCTTCCTTTCATTCCCTCCACATCCTCTTCATCTCTCAACTTCTCTGATCTAACTCTCTTTCTCCGTCCTTATCTTTAAGCCATTTTGCTTCTTTTCCTTGTAATATTTCAAGAAAGAAAAGACATATGAGCAGTTTCACCAAAAGAAGTTTCACTGAGCTCTTCTGGGATTTTGGGGGTAATTTTTTCTTAACAATAAATCTCATCTCCTCACATTTTTTTTCTCTCCAAAAAAAAAAAAAATTCTATATGAACACTCCCCATCTACACTTCTCCTGCTTCTCCCTCCTTCTATCATTCTGCCTTCATCCCTCCCCCTGTTTTTTTTTTCTTCCCCAGCATCTCTGAGGTCTGATTTGGGAAATGTGACCTATTCATCACAGCTGCCATAGACTGTGTGTTTACAAGCTGTGCACAAACACACACACACACACACGCCGTCATTTGTAACTGCACATTGCGTGTTTTTTTTTTGTGATTGGCAAAGCTCGACTGTCGAGGAGGAGGGGGAGGGGGTGGTACCGAGGGACGACCCTGTAAAACAGGGACAACTGCTGTTTTTTGGTGTGTGTGTGTGTGTGTGTGTGTGTGTGTGTGTGCACATGTGATTGCAGGTACTTTGTTAATCATTTGTAAGCCCCACCAGATGCCATGCAGGGGACCAAAGTGCGCGTGGCCTGTCAGTCAACCTCCCCTTCATCACACACGCATGCACACAAACACACACTCATGCAGGTGCATAGCGATCCAACCGCAACCCCCTTCCCTTGAGGCTGATTGGTATTCATGAGATCTCAGGAGGCCCCCTTTATACGCACACACACACATGCACACATATTCTGGTGGATTGGTCTATTCTAATTATCTCCTGGCGTTTATGGAGAGGGCTGATTAGAAGCTGTCAGTGTGACTGATGACGACATGCCATGTTATCCCCCAGAGAGAGCCGGAGAGACAGAGAGAGCGGCTGGTCACAGCTGTGGACTCGGCTTCTTCCTCCGTCCTCGTCTCTTTATAGTTTGTGTATTTCTTCCTTGTAACGCCGCCTCGCTAACAGCTGCCTTGTTATGTGCCTCCGTAGGTAAGCCAGTGATGATCATAACGGAGTTCATGGAAAACGGATCTCTGGACACTTTCCTCAAGGTGAGTCACGGCTCAGCTGGAAGGACCACAGCATTCACATTTTGTCCAAGGTCAGGGCCGCAAGGTTTTTTGTTTTTTTTTCAAAGGCCACACAGCTATAAAGAGTTTGAAATTGTAGAGTTCATTTTCCCAACTGCTGTACTCGAGGGCACATTCTTTCTTTCTTTCTATTTTTTTCCCCCCTAAATTATATAAAAGGTACTTGACTAAAATTGTCTTTCATCTTTCAAAGCTGCAGATTTTGGCCAATATAAGTTTTACTGAATCCACCAAGGACAAAGGTTTAGGCAATCACAGACTTAAATAACAATTCCAAATGGTTTTAAAGCACATTTTTCACGTGTTTTCACCACAGTGTCAATAATACAGTTACATAACCTAAGAAAAGAACTGGTGAGTCAAATTTCTTAACAGGTGAGTGAAAGTGCACAGCTGGGAGACAGTTTGCAATAAAACGGCACATTTCCACTCAACAGTACAGCGAAGCTCTTCGTGAAAAGTTGAAGAGAAAAAAATCACAATTGATTCATGACATATTTAACACGCATACGCTGAAACCTTTTGTTCAGTATATATACCAACAGAGAAGTGGATAAGAAACAGAAACATTCAGTTGGATGTGTGGTCGCCGCACATTTTCCTTACATGATTTTTGACACCGGGTCTGTGAAATGCACTTATCCCAGAACAGAGAACTGCAGCAGACTGCTGACAAATGGGCAATAAAACAAAGAAAGTACACTGCTTTGTGTGCAACATTTGCTTTGTCAGGGCAAACAGAAGTCAACAATTCATTCCGAATGTGTTGCAACACCACAAAAGTCATCTGGTTTTCAGTGTGGAGAGAGCTCATGATATAGCAATGGAGAGAAACACGTAAAGAGAATCGGCATTATCATAAAGGAACATAAGAATATAGTCAGCAGAAATATCTCTGAGGGCATTCAGTATGCCGATCAAGCATTTGGCAAGGTTTGTAGAGCAGAAAATGTAACACACCCTTAAAAAAAAAAGGCTTTTGCCAATCCCCCTATCAGTGAACTGATTGAAAAATCAAAGGAAAGCTGTGGAGCTGTAGCTTTGTAACCAAATTAACATGAATAGAGAAGGGGTTTATCATAATATTAGTCATTAATTTAAGAGTAATTCATCACATGAATACTAGTTTTGATACACACATTCCATCAATCTATTCTTTCACAAACCTTAGACAAATCAATATATACTATTCATTCTATCAAGGGAGTGTTTTTCATACATAAAAGTATATTTAATGAAAGACGACAACGATGTACAGTTAGGCTGTAATATTCGTAGATCTTTCTTTTCTCTCTGTGTCTCTCAAATGTAGCAAAGACGCAGGATTGATTTAGCTGAGGAGCTCTGAATTAGGTTTTGCCTCCACCCAGATGAATAGCGCGTTGCAGCCCTGGTGCGCCTCGCATTCAGCGTCCCCCTGATTCATATTCAGAGTTGTTTGTCAGCCAGTAAAATCACTGCAGTGCTCCAGAGCCATTAAGGCTGTGATGATAGGCCCATTGCTAAATAGACACCAATCCCATCAGCAGCACTGACGCAAAATGAAGTGACAGATAAAAAATGGCCGAATGTCCTGAAACGCGTATACCAGCACACAAAAAACACACGCGTGCAGACACATGCGCGTTTTCCCGCTACAATATGTATTGTAATGAGAGCCGTAAAGACTGTCCGCAGTGACTCCATATAATTATGGAATCAGTTTTATGGTTTTTACAGCTCATCCGTGCATCTGGCATCCATGTGTCTTTAATTATGCTGACCATTTATTAAGCAGATCTCCCTCTGAAATAACAAAGTCGCTCTTCTCCCTCTCCATCTCTTACATCCATCTATTCCCATCCCACTCTTACTTCCCCGTCTTTTCCAGTGCTGTATGTAAAGTTTCTTATTTTTACTACAAAGAAAAGTAATGTGGCGAAATTTGCCCAAAATTCCTCCTTTTCCGCCTCTCTCATCCTTCATCTCCTCATCTAACCTCCCTGCCTTGCATTTCTCTTCCCTCTCTCTCTGTCCCTGCCCTGCCCACCCTTCCTCCTCCTTCCTGGCAGTGCAATGTGGTGGGCAGATTGATAGAGGAAGTCAGTAGGTTTGTTAGACAGTCCAATCAATCAGCATCTCACAAAACCACCGGCTAATTAACTTACTCCACAGCTGCCGAGGGACAGGGAGAGGGAGAGGAAGAAAAAAAGAAACGATAGAGGAAAAGGGGGGGCACAGATGCAGAAAGATGAAGGAAGATAGATAGATGGGGACTGAATCAAAGTATTACAGAGTTCTCCCTCTCTGAGACAGAGACCGGGGGAAGACAGAGATGGATGGAGAGAACAAAGAGGAAGAGGAAGGAGAGATGATATAAAGGAGAGAGGGTGACTGATAACATGAATGGCTTTTTAACGGGGACCGTTGGCCCAGGGCAGAAATAATTGGCAGAGGAAGGTGAGTTGGACCGTCATCGATCAACAGGCTCCACTCTCTGCCAAAGACAGCTCAAATCTGAAATCCAGTGAGCTCCGCATGGGCACACGGTCAGTATTATAGTGGAAAGTTTTGTCTGCTCTGTCAGATCCAATCCTCTGCAAGTAGGATTTTTTTTGGTGATCCTCCATTGATCCCCGGAAGGAGAAATTCATCTTTTGCTTGCCACCCTTCACAGAGAGGTCAAAGCACAGGGTTAGCGGGAGCTGAAAGAGATTCTGAGTCTTGCTCCGGGACACTTGAGAAATGGGACTGCTGCCATCACGAATGCTTGAATCCTGGCCTAAACCTTCACTTCCAGCTGAAGCAGTTAAAAGGACACAAACCTAATCACTGCGCCTCTGTGTTTCTCCTTGTCTCTCGCTCCAGAAACACGACGGCCAGTTCACGGTGATCCAGCTGGTCGGCATGCTGCGCGGCATCGCCTCGGGCATGAAGTACCTGTCAGACATGAGCTACGTTCACCGAGACCTGGCGGCTCGAAACATCCTGGTCAACAGCAACCTGGTGTGTAAAGTGTCTGACTTTGGCCTGAGCCGAGTTCTGGAGGACGACCCAGAAGCTGCCTACACTACAAGGGTGAGACACACTCTCTGCCGTGAATAAATGTCTTCAATTACAGTTCATCCAATCACTGACCTCTATGTTGCTGTAAATGAACTAAAACAGGCTGGTGGAAAACTTACTTAAACCAGACACGCATCAATAAATTTTAAACAAAGAGACCAACTCCAAAGAGGGTCCAAAAGCAGCCAGAGCCAGTTAAAGAAATGCATCTGCAGATAATTAGACCCGATCCAAAACACAACTGATCTAAGCAGACACGAACAAAGCGAGCGCTCCCACACAGGCAGCGGATGTGCTACCAATGAGCAGGCAATGAAACAACAGCAGTACATGCATCAGCAGTATATCCATCTCAACAGTTTTACTTCTCGGGCTAATTCATCAGTGAGTCTAAGATATCAAACTGAAGCTATAGGACATAATAACTTCAAAATAAAATGCCTTTTTAAAAAGAAGGTTGGCTCACAGTTCTAATCAAGTATTTGTTGTTGCCAAATTGGTTTGACTGAAGGTTTGTATTAGACAGTTAATGTTGTACGATGGTGCTGACTCCGAGGATTTTTTGGCTCTTTGCGTGAGCACATAAAATAATAAATACACTGTGCAAGGCTGCACAATACATCATTTCAGCACTGACACTGAGATGTGTGCAAGCTCAATAGTCATTTTGCTTGAAATACGGTGTAATGCAAATTAAGCAAAATACATCATAGCACAACTTTTTTGTGCTGCTTGACACAAAAAGAAAACTTCCAGGGTTCTCATTTTCCAAAACTAATACAAGAGAAGACTGATAGAAGATAATATACTCCTATTTAAGGGAACTTGGAAACAGGGAGTTTTTCCTTTAAAAAAAAAAACTTTATTTACAAGACACACAGTTTGCTGACATGCAGGCTCCACATGAATGAGGAACGGGAGAGAAACACTGAAAAGGGGCAGGTTTGGTTGCAAAACAAATGCAACATCAGTTGTATTTAAACAGTTTGGCGACAGAAAGGCTGCTGTTGAGAGAAAAGAAGTACTTTGGCAGTATCTTGCAATTACATGAGGCACTTATATCAGTGACACAAAGCTCTGTGTGATGAGTGCAAAACCAGATCTGAACGGCATCAACATAAGCACATAAGAGGAGTTTCAAATGATTCGCACTTAAAAAAATAAGTCCTTTTGTTCTATTTCGTAAAGACAGTTGAAAACATTAAAAAAAACTCAATAATAGGGCCGCTGCTATAGCTCACCGGGTTGAGCTGGCGTCCCATGTGCAGGGCTACAGTCCCGATGTGGAGGTCATGGGTTTGAATCCCGCTCATGGCCCTTTCCTGTCTCTCTCTCACTGCACTGTCAAATAAAGGCACAAAGGCCAAAAAAATAACTTAAAAAAAAAAACAAAAAAAAAACCTCAATATTAGTGACTAAACTCCTGAGTTAAGGTTGTTTATCATTACACTGAAGTGTCACCACCAGGACTGAGCTGCTCAAGTGATGTCTGCGGGAATTATGTTGTCCTACTTGCAAACAGAGTGTACTGCACCTTCTCATTTTCAGTAGCCTCAGTTTTGGAGTGCTGAATTTCACTTCTTCCAAGGACACATGCTCAAACTTGGCAAAAACAGATTTTTTTTTTTTTTTGGAATAATGACTGGACAAATGTATAACACTTTAATACTGGGCTGCAGAGTTTTGCAAGCAGCTTTGGACCAGGGCTCTACTCACAGCTGCTGAATATATGCTGTTAGCAAAATTAAATTCATGCACAGCATGACTGCATACGCCCAAATTTCCCCTCTCAATATTTTAGCCTATATATAGTCAAATCAGAGAAGTCTTTGTTCACGTTAACATCCTCTCAGAGCGCTCAGAGAGAATGAAGAAACTCAAACGTCAGTGAGTTAAACCACTGTGGAGTAACTCATCTAAAATGTCCACGAGGAGATGGCATTATTCATATTCATAGGAAGTGTTGGGGATGTTATTTTTAATATGGCATTAGCATTGCCCTGGGAGGAGTGTATCAGCCGCTGACTGCTCTATTGCAATCACACACAAACTCCCACTGATGTCAGGAGACCTAGATGGAGAGCTGCAGGCATTGAGGGGAGGGGAAAGGGGGGGTAGGAGAGGCCGAGGCGGAGATGGGGAAGAGACAGAGAGAGAGAGAGAGAGAGAGAGAGAGAGAGAGAGAGAGAGGAGTGGATATCAAATAAGACGAAGATCCAGGGAGGCTGGGGGAGAGTAGAGAGAGAGAGAGATAGAGGGAGGGAGAGAATGAAGGAAGGCAGGAGAAGGATCCAGCGAGAGCAGTTAAGAGGAAAAAAAAAAAGGAGATGGGGTAGGGGTGGACAGGGGGTGGTGGAAACAAAAGTACAGTGCCGAGTGACTTGGCAGCTTTGTCTTTTATTTGACTTTGACCAAGCAGAGATGGGGAATGCTAGGTGGTGCAGAGGCAGCTGCCGCATGTTAAAAAGCTGAAGCGAGCCTATAGAGGTACGCTGTGTGTTGGAGTGAAAGGGAGAGGGCGGGGGTTTCTTACTGCCTATTGTGTCTATACAGCCGGCTGTATGGAATCCTTTTGATCTGTGCATCAACAACAAAGGCAGGAGCAGAATGGAAAAAAAAGGAAAAGGAAAACTGATGGCAGAAGAAAGACAAGTGCAAGAACAAACACTGGAGCAACCTTGTGTTGTGAGCCTACTAGAGAGGAGTCCTTTGCTAAGTTGGTGTATAACCTCAACTGCTCTCTTCCTAAACACGGTGCTGCACCAGGCTTCTCTGCAGCCACCATCTTAACACTCCTTCTACTCTCCTGCATTATGATTTATTACGACACTTAGCCAGAAGCCAACTAATTAAAACAGCCTTTAGGTATTTACACCACTACAGACAGCGAAAAGCAGCGAGTTGGATGTGGATAAATGTGTTAATTGTTTTGTGTTTTTTAGGGAGGAAAAATCCCCATCAGATGGACGGCTCCAGAGGCCATAGCCTACAGGAAGTTCACTTCAGCCAGTGATGTGTGGAGTTACGGTATCGTCATGTGGGAGGTGATTTCATACGGAGAGAGACCCTACTGGGAGATGTCCAACCAGGATGTGAGTCACAAACACATACATCACGTCTCAGTTGCAGTGTTACTCACCGCACTGCACTTAAACAATGCCTGCAACGATAAAGATGTACTTTTTCCTCAATCTCAATTTGTATTTCCTTGCCTGGTATTAATCATAGAACATGATATCTCTCTCCCTGCAGGTGATCAAAGCAATAGACGAGGGCTACCGTCTCCCTGCTCCCATGGATTGTCCTGTGGTGTTGCACCAGCTCATGTTGGATTGCTGGGAGAAAGGGCGCAGCGACAGGCCAAAGTTTGGACAGATTGTCACAATCCTGGACAAACTCATCAGGAACCCGGCCAGTCTCAGAGAGCTGGCCAACAGCTCAGCATGGTCAGTGGGAGAAAGCTACGGATTTAAACTGTGACTCTTACTGATACTTACATGTAGCTGTGAAATATTTGGATGTCTTTTTGTGGTGCTAGATACATTGAAGACATGGTATATCTACTTTGTTGGTATTTAAAATGTAAATTTTTCTCAGATTTATGAAGAGATATTGGATTGTGTGTCGGTATATCCAGTGCCTCACGTTTAGTTTAGACTCCTTGAATGCCCAGTTGTACTGAACACATCAACAGAATATCAGTTACCTTTCACACTTGAGGCATTTAGCCGATGCTCAGAATCAGGCCAGCATAGAGATGTTTCAGTCCCTTTCACCGACAGACAAAAAACTAATCCCAGCACAACTGAAAAGCCAATAGAAGTTCAAAAGAACTACTAACAAGGGCCTTCACACAGAAGACTCAATGAGCAACGTGACCTGAAAGGATAGTCTCACACCCAGCGTATAACTGAAGTATAAACACGACTGTGCTGCACTATGTATAAATGCATATTGTATGTAAATGGAGATAGAAAGAGACCAAAGTATTTTGAAAGTTTGAGCATGCAAATGAATAAACACATAGATCATTTGTAACAATTTAAAACAAAAGCAAGCAAAAAAACAAGTCAAAGGGTTCCACAAGTAAAACCATGTGCACTTGTGCTGAGGGGGGGGGCAGCAGATGATAAACCATTAATCATACTTACCCACTAATGGCTAGGTTTAAAGTTTATATTTTCTTTTCACGGTGGATTTGAGGCTGTCATGCTGTGGTTGTTGCAGAATTCTAACTATTCTTCCCTAATGCAAATTCAGCACCACGAAGGAGCAATAGCTCAAGAGCGCTGCCACTTTTTTTTCTAATTTATGAACGTCCACACAACAGTTTTACTTTTAGATCTGTGCCAAGGACAAACAATTGACTTCAGTACTATTAAAAAGCAGTTATTCAGTCACTTCATGGACCAACTCTTCATTTTGTTGTGGGTGTGCTTTGTATCCCAGCAGGGAGGACCCGTCCACTCCAGAGTTCAGCGTGAGCACAGTGGATGAGTGGTTGGAGGCCATCAAGATGGGCCAGTATAAGGAGAACTTTTCCAGTGCTGGATATGTCAGCTTGGACTCTATCCTTTACATCAGTGTCAGGTACGGATGTGCGATGTCCCCCCCCCCTGTTAAATTTAACACCCAAAAGGTCAAGCTTGTCAGCAAGAGACGTACTACACTCCTCTTCAGTGCTAATAGCAATTAGAGAAGACAAGAATCCTCAACATGAAACCTCAGCAGCTGCTTGACATTTTAAGTATAGTCTAGAATAATTTATCTAAAAATAGCATTATAATATTTGTGTTTCTTTTCCTGTTTTCCATGTAGTGAATTAGCTAAGATGGGGGTGTCCCTGGCCGGCCACCAGAAGAAGATTTTGTCCAGTGTGCAGAGCCTGCAGACCCAGGGGACGCACGTCCAAGTATAACAGTTTCCACATAAACACACAGTGAAACAGAGTCAAACTGGATGCTCCTGTGAAGAGTTTCCACGCTGACATGGAGCTGTAATGGATACTCTGTGCTTGGGCCTCCATTGATTATGAGACACACTGAGATGGAGACAACATGGACGCTTGACTCCTTCACCTTCTCGCAGTTTCCCCCCCCATTCTTCTTCCCATGCTCGATGGGCACTACTGGCTTTAGCACTCAGAGTCCCAGCAACACGATCACCATTATGGAGCAACAGAAAGACACATTTCCAACAACAAGGCCACACTTAGAGCATCCCAGACCGTTTCACATCATATCAGTTCAACAAAACGAGAAAAAAAAAAGACTTTTAACAAAAGAAATGACAAAAAAAAAACAAATTAGAATATAATTATCATCACTGTCTGTGAGGTGTACAGTTGGTTTTTACTGTCATTTTGTTTGTTTTGACTTTTCACCTTGAAGAGTTTAAAAAGGGTCAGAAGATATGTATGTGTAGATATGTGTAGATATATGTTTATACGGGCTGTGTGTCCCACAACCGTAGAGATGGACCTAACGTTTGTATTGGTGGCGAGGTTTATATTGCTCAAACCTAACAGGAGTTATTACCCAGTACATAAATGGCCCCTTCCATTGCTCTCTGTGTACAGAAAGTCAATGACTGAGCCGAGATTCTGAATGACATGAATGTGTGGGGAGAGGGGATCAGAAAAACTGGACCTTTAAAGATAGAGAGGGATGTAGATTTTGCTAGCTTATTTAGGATGGAAGTATGATTTGTTTAAATAGTGTATTTGATCTGGACAAGGGCTTCCTTAGCGACTGCTCTCAGAAATACTTCCATAGCAACTAGACCCAGTGCACCAGTCTGCTTGCACTTAAATTGTAACTGACTGCAAAGAAACTGCTTCAGGTGCAGTTAACACAGAGTAAATTTTACTCTGCCACTTCTTTTTTTTCCCCCAGACAACATTGTCTGTTACAGATGATACAGTATGATGTTGTCAAGATTATCTCAGCCCAAAAGTTTGCCTTCCCATGTTTCAGGTGTGTGAAGAAAGTTATAGTGTTTTGTGTAGAGCAAAAGTGACACAAAGGTCATGATAGAGTTGACACTGTTAAAAACGTGTTTTTCCAGTGTTGTGCCATGTACAGTAACCTTGAGAGATGTTCATCTAGCCAACATACCACCATTCCGACTGTATGCTTTTCTTTCATCAGTTCCCATGGCTGGATGGTTACACAAGGCCAGTCACAATAATTACAGTGTTTTGTGTTTTCCAAATAGTCTGCTCGATGAAAAGGAGCATTGGAATGGAGCCTTTTTCAGCAAGATGAAATATACGCAGTGTTGATTTTCAGCTGTGCCACCGCAAGAGGGGAAACTTGACTTGATTTGTCTGCCTGGTACTGTCTCACTTTCTTGTTATCAGTCATGCCAACCTATTTCGAGCATCACGTGTTTCAAACCAGTAAATTTACAAAACAATGTTTACAGCAAGAAGCAAATAAATGTGTTTGTTGGTTTTTTTCCTTAACAGAAGGAAACTGCTGCTTATCACATTCAATGCACAGTTCGATATGAAGGGACCCTCATTGTGTACACTGTATTAATGGCACTGAACCTGCTTTTAGTGTATTCCCAAACCCAGTTTTAATATATGTGGTACTCTATAGGACCAACAGTGGCATAAAGTACAGTATATATGATTGTATCATAGTGTAAAATATGTACAGCGTTGATTTCCAATGTTAGAATGTTTGTAATGATAACAATGATGATGACTATGATGTACTTTTATTGTGAAAAAGAGATTTCTGAAGTACTAGTTCAGGGTCGGGTCATACAGGAGAAAAGTGAAGGGAGGTGATTCGTTGGTCTGAACAAAGGAATGTAGCATGGTGCAAAGTTTCAGCTTTGATGGACAGGTGACAGTGACTGCAGTTTCTACTATAGCGTTAGAATGAGTAGAATGGACTTTCGTTATCGATACACTGGCTTCATGTGCATATCCACCTTAAACAGTAATGACAAGCACTTTTTAACCCTGTCTCTGCTTACAACACAGTTTTTAAAAAGTTTGGGAGAGGGAGGGAGGGAGGGAGGAGGAATAAAATAAGGGAACTCAAACTTCTGATATCACAAACTGAACACTGGCTAAAGCTTAGCTTAACAAAGGAGACCTAGGCTCAGCAGATCGGCATTTCTCCGCATGCTGAAGTGGTGTGCATGGAGTGACAGTAAGAGCATTTAAAGAGTTTAAAGGGCGGTGTTATTTTGTTCACCTTCCCGAAACCAAAACACAAGCGCAAAAGTGTAAGGAATGGATTACACAGCATCTTTAACTGCTATTTTAAGCTGCAACTGTTAGCATGTCTGCTAGCTTTGCAAGTAAGTGTTACTTCCAAGGTCGAGCATATCATCTACTAACTAGCTTAGAGTAGGTACTTTGGCTACAGTTCGTGTCAAAACCAGCACATGAAAACAAATAAATATGAAACAAGTCGCAAGTCTTGAAACATCCGAAAGGCAGTCTAAAGACAACTTTTTTAGCTAATTAATTAGGCTAATGTTAGCTTAAACAATTAGCAACTACAGCTGACAAAATCTGCCTGTTATATCTGTAACTTAAGCCAGTATTTTGCTAGCTTGAAATAAGAAGTCTACCTCTGTGAGACATCTGGGACCCATTGTTATGAAAATACATTTTTTAGAGATAAATCTGCCACCATTCTTGCCAATGGCACAGCATGTGCCATGTGAGAATAGAAATCTTGACAGGCATAGCAACAGTTACCAATGGGCGGGGCTTAATCTACCAATTGGGGCGGAGCCAAAGATGCTAGAACAATTAAAACTTTAACCACAATAATGCCTTTTACTTGTGTTTTTTTGTCCTTTTGTTTTAGAATCGGTAAAATAACAGTTAATATGTTTCAATGCAGAACATTTACAATAACATAATCTGTAGATTAATTGCTCTTGCAAGCCAGGTTTGCTGTTTTGCCACATAAGCCACAGATAAGAACACAAATTAGGAGAGTCTGAAACTGTTCATTCTACTCTTGCTAACTCTATGATTTCACTCTAGCGGACTACCCATGACCGCTGGCCTTTTTGATGCCTTATTTACCGAGCTATTGTTCTTTTCTGTTGCCCTATAGAGGCGATATTAAGAGTAAAGTGTATATACAGGTAGTATTTATCTGTGTTCTTAAGGTGACCTCACATCAACACCCTGATTCTGTCACATCCCAGACGCCCCCCTCCAACAGTACCGCCACTTTGATTCCTTTAAGCAAAAGAAAGGGATTTTGTTTTAAAAATATAACTTTAAATCGTACATCCAATGACCTGTAGAAGTTGATGGAGAACATGACAGTATCGTTGGTATTTATTTGCAAATTAGGGATGTGATTGGCTCACAGTTGGATCATTTTGGTTGCATAATTCGACGTGCAAAACTCTTCTTAAATTTTAAGGTTACAACAGCATTGCATACTGCCTGAATAATAACGGTGAATTGTGACAATGTCCTCCCTTTTGCTATTCATCACTTCCACTCTAGAAAGTTATGTCATACATCCACTTTAGGTTTCAATTTTAAAATCCCAGGTTTCTGTCACTTTTTCACCCTGTCAAGGTTAGCTATGTGGGCTGGTTTGCTTGATCTCAAATGCAGTGTTTGTTTCCATTTCCCACCAGGTCCGTATTGTAAATGTTCACAGGAGATTCTCATTTGAGACTTTCAGCTCTGTCTCTCTTTGTCCTCCTCTCTCTCTCTCTCTTTCTTTAGCCACCGTACAATGCTTATTTGTCCCCATGCCAGTTTCCTCTGCGTTGCTTGTTGTAAAGGGTGTAGGCAATTCTAATGTCTTTCATGTTGCTGTAATAAATATGCTAATATTTCTAATTTCTCACCTGAAGCCTGCAGTGTCTTTTTTTTTTCCCTTTCACACATTCTCTGCATTTCTCTTTCTGTCTCCGGTTTGTCAGAAATTTCTATTCAAAACACAATTCAACATGGCACAATTACAGTGGAACTATGACTGCATAAAATTCAAAGTGTGCTAACATGAAAGTGTTATGAAGTCCTCCCTTAATTACTTTTTTGCCGTGTAACAAAGCCTGAAGGTAGAAAATTTTGTTGGCGAGCATCTGACCAGCATGAATTCACGGCTGGGAAATTTAGGGGGCTAGACTCATTTGTACTCGGCTCTCTCTAATGGCGATAGCAGTGGTGAAATTCCCATCATAACATTCTTGAATGGCAAAATATAGCGGTCCGGCAACCACATCTTCATTATCAGTGTGTGTGTGTATGTGTGTGTGTGTGTGTGTGTGTGTTCCTTACTGAGAGATAATTCTGTCTCGGGGGAGGGGGAAGGTCAGCGACTCCTGGCCTTGGTTAACCCCTTAATGCACTGGCCCAGTTGCTGTCACTCTATGTTACCGCCATTACACCTCATTTAGCCCATCATATTAGGCTCCATATTCCCCTATCGCTCGCTCCCTCCGTCTCTCTCTTTCACCCACACACACACACACACACACGAGCCTCGACATACAAAAAAATTCAGGGCCTGTTCTCCATTTCCTCAGTATCTATCTCCTCCCAGTGCCCTGCTCTTAATCTTTTCTGCTGGCCTTGTGCATCCCCATTTTCCCCCCCCCTCCTCCCCATCCCTATCCATCCCGGGCAGACAGACAGAAAGGTTGTGGCTCGTTCTCTGACCTCGACTGCGCCATTATCTCCCTCTCCTCGCTTTTTCCTTTTCTCATAGCTTTTTTAATTTCCCCCACCTCCGTCCATCCATCCGACTGTCCGCCCATCCATCCAAAACTTTTCTCCCCTCTTTGAGGTTCACTGCCTCTCGTCTCACTGTCTCACTGCTATCACCACTGGGTTTCCTTTTAGCATCAAAGGCCAATCCATAACTTTGGGCTTTTGTCTCCAGGTGTCTCAACAGGCAGAATGTCATCGCACATATTTACTCTGGATAACAGAGGCTACCAGGAGCCAAAGGCTTAGGCGATTGATTCATCATGCAGCTGCTATTGGCATCATGTGAAAAGGTCAGATGTCCCTATGGAGAACACTTTAAAAGGCCATTGGTGACTGATGAGCCTGTCATGTTTGTATCACATACATGCACAAGCACTCTGTCTCTTATTCTGTATCTTCTTTCAGTGGGTCTGGTCTGCTCTCTCTCCGTCATACACACACACACAAAGGCACACATTCCCCTGGGAATAGTAATTGGGCCCCTCTGTCATGCTGTCAGGTGTGGGTTTGAGTGTCCCCTCATGTGCAACAGCGGACATTAAAATAACACAAGAGACCCAACAGCCACGGATCCACCATGACCTCTGCGGAGGGGTCGGCCATATGTGCACGCGTTTGCTGCGCGAGCGTAGCTTCTGCGTGTTTGTAAAGCTTCTGAGACCAAATGTGATGCTCGCGCGCGAGTCGGCAAGGTGAGACTCAAAAGATGGACGCAAAACGAGAGAAGCAGATCAACACTGCACCAGAGGAAAGATTTCATCAGTCGCCGGTTAAATTTGCTGGAGTTCCTGCTTTGTCGCTCTTGATTGCATTGCGTGTGTTCCCTCTAATCAAATACGGCCGAGTTCAGACGGGCTCGGGATCTCCCCGGCCCGCACACACATGCACACATCAGTGCTCTTCTGTCTCATGAGGTTTTAGTTTGCTATCAAAGCGATTTCCTGTCTCAAATTTTCATCAGTAATCAAAGTTCCTGATTGAATTTGAAAAGTGAGCCCGGCTCTATAAATCACATTACATGCCTCACTCCCATCATGCCTGCTCTCATCAGCCACAGGAATGAGACGCCACCCTGGGTGTATGTCTGCATCATGGCGTGTGCGTGTGTGTGTGTGTGTGTGTGTGTGTGTGTCTCTTTTGGATGCAGAGGGAGAGGAAAATGGATGCTGACAAGACTGTGATTTGATCTGTGCAATTTTTTTGTTGGGACAGATACTACAGAAAGGGGAGAAGAATGGTGAAATGGCAATAAAGATAACACACCTGGGCCTGATTGTACGAGGAAACAATTCTTGGCATTTGTTTGACTGTCAAATTGATACCAGATAGGTGGAATTTATTGCATCAGTGCAGCTCAAGTCAGTAATAAAGCCAGGTAAAGTGGATTCAGTGAAAAAGTGAGAAGCTTTTGTCGTTGGTAGGGATGGATTACTGAATGAGACCAGGGGCCCAACCAATCCAGTTTAGCGTTTGTTCTTTTATGGTATATTCCTTTATTACAGCTGCATAGCACCACTGAAGCTACAGTATTGTTTCATTACAATGCAGTAAAATTAAAAAAGGAATTTAAATCATCTGACAGCAAGATTGCTCTGCTTCAAGACAACACGACCTGTGCCTGTGATATTGTAAATACGGTGTTTTGTCTGTTATTGGAGTATTTCCTTTAAGATCTGCACACAGGAAAGTCAGCGTGGATCTGCTTTGACAGGTCGCTTTGCACAAGAGTCAGTTAGTCTCTCTTTATCTCTGCATGAGCTAAATTATAGTCACGAAACAACTACAAAGCCCCTCTGTCATCTTAAAAAACTTAGATCATTTGAGACTTGTCCACACAAACAAGGACATTTTGCAAAACAAACATTCTCCTCCACTTTTAGCCTCTCATCCACATGCATGCTGCAGGTTTTTGAAAGCTTGAGTTCACATGTATCCAAGTTGACATGACAAAACAGAGATGAGAAGCGACAACGTCACACTTTGATGTACGCGTGCCCTTTGTTGCTTTATATAATGAGCATGTGCCTGAAACAACAACAACGAATGTATTCAAAAAAGTTCTCGGCCTTATCCAGAAACAAATGGAGAAACTATTTTGGGGCGTAACTGTATGCTGTAGTGCCTTATATCACTGTCCAAAAAACTACAATGTTTGAGACAATCAAGAGAAAATGGACAGGCAAACTTCAAGCTGGCGTGATGTTGCTCCAGGACAATGTGCACATCCACACAGCACAGGTCCCAGAAAGAGCCAAGTGTAGCTTAGAACTGTTGCCCCATGCAACTTATTCATCTGACTTGGCACCATCTGACTTCTGATTCCCAAACTAACATCTCACTTGCAAGGTCACCGTGATGAATGCTGTTGACGAGTATCTGGAGGCTCAAGATGTGACCTTCTTCTGCAAAGTGAAGCTCAAAAGTCAGTGAACTAAATGCAAGAACAGCCTTCTCCTGTGAAGTGTCTGGTGAGGTAGAGAACCTTTTGAAGTGAACTTGCATATCAGTTTCTTTACATTTGGTTAGTACTAGCTATTACAAGTCTAATTAAGCATTGCTTTTCAACTCCAGTGGCATGTACAAGCCTTTGCATCTGCAGAGCCCAGCACTACTTGGTCAACAGCATCCACAGAAACAACAAATGGACAGAATGTTCTTCTCTGGTATCTGACACATGGTTGATCTAGACTGACCCTGCCTGCTTATTACAGCATTTGGAGTAGTATTTGTGTTCTTGTGTGTACAGAGGTGTTTTGTTAAAAGATGGTTGTGCAGACTGAGGGGGGAAATATCCATTTGGAAAATGATCCTTTTTGATGTGGACAGGGCTTTAATTCTGTGACCTCCAAGGAGTTTTGGGGCTTTTTTTTTGCCTCTGTGTAACAAACGAGACTAGAAGCACAGAGAACTCAGTGTAACACAGTTGTAATGCCATAAATCAAATACAAAGCGAAAGCTGAAATTCTTTATCTGTTTTACAAAAACTGAAAAAAACCTGGAATCAACATGGACAAAATTTTTTCCAAGGGTCCCCAGGTGAGAAAAAAAATGACTGTTTTACATGCTACATTGTACTTCTTCCATTTTGAATTTGTTTTCATGCTTGTCTCCTGTCTGCCCTGTTGTAAACAAAGCCTGCAGTTCAGCCCAAGTCCCTGAATTTTTATCAGGTGACTTTTGGCTGCAGGTGAGTCACTCATGGCTTCCCTGTTACCCACAGAGTGCAGTTTGTTTTTACAGAATCTGGTAAGTAATTGCTTATTTTTGGTGATTTTTTTAAAAAATGAGACATCCAGGACAAAATGATTTTGATCGAAAAAATGTTACGCTTGGATTTTGTTCATTTTCCTTCATAACCTAGTTCAAGGACAGATGGAAAATCCAACAAATCTTTCTGTTTTTACAGTTTCTGGCTCAGATAAATGGTTTTGGCCATCTTTTAAAGATAACATGCCTTTCAAACCCACACGTGGGTTTTGGGGTTCAGATGATTTAATGTAGATAGCGCTGGGATGGAACTTTTCTATAAATCCTAAATAGAGTCAATTATGTCTTTCCTAATATACTGCTGGTTAAGTAATCTCGACATAAAATATAAAAAAAACGCAATCAACAGCGATGTCAGAAACAGTGAGAAGATCATCGGAAACTAAAATTGTATTGTTATGTGTTACTGTTGTGGTCTCTCACATGTTTATCTGTCTGGCTGTTAGGCTGTGACTAAATTGTGCGAACACGATCTTAATAAAGACTGAACTGAACAAATGACTACACAAAAAGAGACACAGATTACTACAATGATGTGCAAAATAACGGCAGAGATGAATACCAATGAATACAAAGCAATGCAAAATGACAATAAGCTCACAATACAACAAAAAATAGATGCAAAAAGGTGACAAAGAGACACAAAACCCATTCAAGGAGAGTGGAGACAATCTGGATCCTTCCATGATTGTTGTCACCAGAAAATGTAAAAACTGTAGCATGTCCAAATAGTTTAGTCAGACAAAAGGCAAATAGGTAGCCAGAAAAAAGGAATCAGCAAGAACTCGTCCACATTGGACAGCTGTCACCACCCAAAATCAGTAACAGATTTTGAAATGGAGCAGAGGCAGATAGAGAATAAACTGA